TGATGAAGGTCAGCTGTGTAATATGATAAATTATGAAAATAAGTGTAAACAGCAGAAAATGATGAAAAATGAGAAGGAAACCATTTTAAATTGAGTTTAGTAGTGTAGCATAGGGAAATAGTAATGCGAGAAAGGCATCAAGATATATTTCCTGGAGTTTTAGTGAGAAGCACTGGTCAGTGGAATTCAACCGGGTCTGGTGTGAGATAGTAACTCACTGAGGACAATGGTGGATGTGTCGCTCAATTTCGTGGATTAGTTGAAGTTAGACATTAACACTGTTGGACGCCGGCCAGATCAGTGGTCCAGAGGTTAAGCATTCACGTGCGAGTCTGATAGATCTAGTGATCGAATCTGGCGAGTCGGAAAGGGGGATATGCACTGCTGAGGAGTTACACTATACGACGAAACGGCTTTTCAGTGGTCCTAGTTTTTCCATTTTGATCTAGCTTCAATCGACCCATGTCCTCAACTATTGAAATTTCTAACCATTAGACAATAAACTAGAGCATTTCTCTAACATACTACTAGTTACATTTAAACCAAATTACAGCTATAAAACTTTCAAAAATCAGTATTCACTACTTTTAAAATCAACTAGGTTGTTTCTATACTTGTATTTACCAGATTTTATTATGCGACTATATTTCTTATCTTTTGAAAAAAACTACATTTTGTAATTTGAGTTTTAAAAAACAACTATGTAATTTACATCATTTATGTAATTTATTCGGTTGAGAGAATTATCACTTCCGGTACTTGAATATTTGATTTGATTGATTCACCTTGCATTGAGATAAACGTTTTTGAAGTTTAAATACAACTTTTCTACCGCATTTCATTTTAAAAAGAAATATCAAACTAAAATGATCTCTAATGGACTATTCATTCAAAATTATACTTGTATATGTTGAAATATGAACCACTGATACCATACAAACATATTACATCTTAGCGTTTTCAAATAATCACATACTGCCAAAATGACTAAAGTAGCAATATTAATCTCAGTATAGTAATGTCATATATCATATTGATACACGATTCTCAAAAATACAGGACACTAAGAAAGGACAGCATATATTCAAATTTAAATAAACATACACAAATAAATCAAAATGTATCGGATGTACGATTAGCAAACTATCCTTTAAAAACGTATGACTAATGTTTCCATAAGTTATACACATCAAGGATTCTGAGTGACACTTTTTCAAGGTTCCATTTATTCATAAAGATTTGTTTCTTTATAAACGTATTGTAATGGTTTTTCATTCAGGAGAAAATCAATATTCACCGGTCAACCAGGTAGTATGAATTTAAAATATCCGAATATCATTTATAAGTAAAATTCACAACACACATCTATTCTATTTGAAACACTTCAGCTGGATATACACGTTAATGACTTTAGGCTATATCGAGGCAATTCGCACAAAATGTACATATGCCAATATGAAAGTGACAAATTGAAGTCCTAAATAACAATGAGAAGATACAAGTAAAACAACACCAAGTGAATTTATTAATGATTATGTTCAAACGTGAACCCAGTATTTATCCTTTTGGATCTTAATACCATGTGAGTTCTAAATCCTTATTTCTTTAAATTACTATACTTGCGGTGTGTGCAACTTATGTGGACAAACATAATTAGTATGTAACAGGAATTGGAAGTGGGATATTCACAGCGAGATGATTAAAAAATAAAGCGAAGAGGCAGATGGAGTATGTAGAGAAAGGAAGATATGAAAATGATGTATCTAATGTATGATTTTCATATTTATAAAGCCACTGTTGAAACATAATATCAACACATTTGAAGTTTAACAAATACGTCAAAATTCATATTTATTTTAATTAAAGTATCCTATGTAGTATGAAACTAACTGGTTTGAACTACATTAATACAATTTGTTTATCATGAAATGGTTTCATTGTCTGTGTGGATACTTCAAGTTTACTGTCAAACAATATCAAGAATGATCTTTATTATATATTTTTTTTCTTGTTTATTTTTTGTTTTATGATCAGGCTTAACACATGTTATCGATTTGTCATTGAAACTTTAGTTAAAGTTTTTTTTAAAAATCGTGTTTCCATTTTATGTTTACAAAAATTAAACACAAATTACAATAATTTGCATATGTGCTCAATCACTCAGTGATGATATTCATAATGAACGCTATTTCTCTAATTGTAAAATAAAGAAGCTGGTAATTTGAGGATATTTCTGTTGAGGAGTTATTTTACAATGTAAATTCATTTCTCTCTGTGTTAACAATACTTAAAACACTAGGTTAGCGAGCTCATTAATGTAAATATTTTTAGTGCTTAATTTTACAATATACAGTATGATCCTCAAATAATTTACAAACTCTTAGATGATTGTTTTGAAGTGCCTCAAAAGAACTTTCGTGTCAGTGACCCTACTATCAACCTTTCCTACTTGACCTATATTTACTAAAACAACTAAAGAATAAGCCTTCAGATCGAAACTGTACAGTCTGCATTTGTAAATTTGTTTTTTTCTTATCGAATAAGGTGTATTTGTTGTTCAATAGGATTTAGGAAAACTTTCCCGCATTGCTAAAATAGGTAGTAGTACATGCATAAATCATTCGACTACAGAACATACTACCACTACAGAGTATTCGTTCAAAACAAAATTATTGCTCGAAATTCTCCACAAACTGAACAAAAATCTAGCGCAATCTTATGTTCTCGTTTAACTTCTACACACATGAGACCTATACGTCTACGAAAGGGTCTTTACCTTATTATTTGAGCATGGGATCAACACAGTTATCTTTACGAATTGTATAGGAAGGGGTTTTGTGGATAATATGGCAATTTGATAGTTGAGATCATGAGTCAGTTGAAGCTAGATTCGATCACTAGATCTATCAGACTCGCACGTGAATGCTTAACCTCTGGACCACTGATCTGGCAGGCGTCCAACAGTGTTAATGTCTAACTTCAACTAATCCACGAAATTGAGCGACACATCCACCATTGTCCTCAGTGAGTTACTATCTCACACCAGACCCGGTTGAATTCCACTGACCAGTGCTTCTCACTAAAACTCCAGGAAATATATCTTGAAGCCAGTCACTTTTGAGCATATGTTGATCAATATCAGAAGGGGATTTTGTAGATATTATATTAATTTCAATTATTGAAAACATGAGTCAATTGAAGTTAGACCACTACGGCCATCCAGTGCTTCCAGGTTTCTCATGATGGTCTCGCTTCAATTGACTCGTGATTTCAACTATTGAAGATATATTTTATATGCATATATACATGACAACCCGTATTATTCAAGATTTTAACCTCAATACAATCTTACCGATACCGTGCTTGGTTAAGGATATACTTCTGGTTTAGCTGTGATAGGATTTATTTATTTTTTAACCAGTAACGAAACCTATAAAACAATCAGTAATCTTTTGAAATATTCACTGTTAGTCACCATTTCTCTCTGTTTATAATTGATATATTATAGCTTTATGCAAAGTTTATTCTTGGCATTCTTAATAGGGTCATTTTATAGTTTCAAAGTATTTACAGCCTCAAAAATAACATCATTCACAAATGATTTGACATAATCGCATGTCATTCTAAGGTTCTTAGTGTTGCTCAGTAATGAGCTCAAACGAATTTCAATATTGAACTTTTGAGATATTGGGCTTGTTTGAATAATTCTTACTTCATAAAGTTGAAAAACATTCCAAGTATTCTATTAATCTAATTATGAAACATGAATTAAACCATTCTTGGTATTCAGAACCACCGAATCAATTAATTCGGTTACTCTACAAAATAATGTAAGTAAATATACCAACACTGAAACACAATAATTTAATCTAATCAGTAATAAAAGCTTCTGTTAAGTTTGATGAGAAAAAATTATAATTACTTTGTATAACTCTATTTAAGTGAAGTATACTATTATTAGAGCTGTTTTGAGTTAAATACTAAAATGTATACCGAATGTTAGATAGGGAATATTTTCTGAATAGGCATGCATTTAGAGTTATAATTATCGATCTACCGGTCTATAAAATCCTTTTCTCTTGTAATTACGCCATAGAACAATTGTAGAAATTTGTATTGATTAATTGTTTGCTTTAAATTAACATAAAGATAATTAGGTTAGTAGAAGTATTTACGTAAGCTAGATTTTATTTGTCTATCTAGCCAGCTCTATCTACTTATTATAATAAGTTTGAGACTGACCAAATTTATTTCTTCCATATATTAAGTAATATTTAAGATAAAATTTAACGTTAACATATAACCGTGTTGAAATCTGTCGTAGATCTCTGTCATTTGTGAGACATTTTATACACTGAGTAATAATTAGTGTAAATAAACTACAACTATTTTTTTTATATTCTGCAAGGCATCCCGCGTTATAATGCACATTATTATCCCTGTAGTTACCAATTACGGTATCTGAAAATAATCACTAATCATTCATTCAACATATCTGGCTCCTGGGTTCGAATCTCGCGGGAGGCGAAATCGTAGATGCGCACTGCTGAGTCGTCACACTATAGGACGAAATGGCCGTCCAGTCCTTCCAGGTGTTCCATAGTGATCTAGCTTCAATTGACTTATGATTTTAAGTATTGAAATTTCTAAAAATCTCCACAAAACCCTTTCAGATATCTGTTTCGTACTTACAAATTTAATACTGACTTCATAAAACACAAGTATGTGTTAGTGATAACAATTTAGGCAGTACGGATGAATGAAAGTAATGCTAGTGACCGTAAAGATAGATTTGTTTTTCAAGGAACCATTAATCGGAACAAAATTAACCAGCTTATGTGATTATCAACGCGTAATACGCTTTACAATCTATCCTCTTGCCTCTATATAATAATTGTAGAAATATTTTAGTCCCATTGGTTAACCTTTAAAAAAACAGTAATAAAGTCAAAAATTGTATTTTACTCTGTTTTTGCTAATTTCCTTAAACTAATATGACTATTTGATTGAATTAAAACTGGGTGTTAGGTTATCAAATTTTTTACATATTTGTAAAACTAGAAGTAATATCTGTTTACTTCTTAAAATTTTGACCATTAAAACAGTGACTGAAAGAAGTTTTTACCTTCAAATTAGTTATGACAATGAAGTATGTAACACTATTACTAACCACGATGAAAAACACTGTTCTTCAAATTCACTCAGTGTTGTTTTACTTATATCTTCCCAATATTATTTAGGACTGCAATCGATCAGTTTCTTGTTGGCACATGTGCATCCTATGCGGATTGCCTCGATATAGCCTTAATTCACAAGCATTCTATGCAAAGATGGATAGTGACTAGCAAAGGAATCCAGTTTGCCGCGCGTTTCGTTCTGTTCGTGATTCGTCAACTAGATGTACCCGCACCTCAGAGTTGATGTTCCTTGTGTGGCTCGAACTCAATACCATTCGCTTTAGACGCCATCGTATTATCCAGTATGCATATATGCCAATAAGATTTTTCAAGGATGCATATCATTATCATATAATAATAATTACTAATATCCATCTTCATTATTAAGAAATTAAAGACAAGTGATTTCTGGAAATAAAATGACCAAATAACCAATAGGAAGATGGTCTTTATCAACTTTTTATTAACTTACAATTGGTCTATTCAATGTCATTGTGTACCGATATTTTAATGATACATTGTAAATTAGCTTTTAATATGGCATTTATCAATGTGATTATTATTATTATTTTATATTTGGGAATCAATTTTATCAAGTTTTAATTTTAATCTTATACTACTGAATATACTACTAATGTATGGAATTAAATACATTTGAATAGAAGGAAATAAATGAATTCATATTTGATCAACCGAATGAAATTATGGAAACACAGAAAATATTATGAATCTACCTATCTATCTATGTGTATTGTGTGAATGAGAAGCTCTTATAAAAACGTTATTTTACAACATACATTGAGAAATGAATCAAAGAGACTTGATCAAGTTTGAAAGTAGTGCTACATTTTCATTCACAATCATTTTGTAGTCACTGTATGAATTTTGAGCTACCTCTTATTTTTATGTAGTTCACAGTTAATGGATATCATGAAAGTAAGTATGTTGTTAATATTTGAAATTTCTATGAAAATAAATTACACTAATAAGATACTTTACTGTACTACTACTACTACTACTACTACCACTACTACTACTACTACTGATAATAATAATAATAATAATGGAAAAAAATTTTAGTTCACGTACATACTTCCGATAGTTTGGTATCTATGATATGGATGATTTATCTACAAATCCTCATTGGCACAAATCCAACTGGAATAAAGTTTTAATAGAACACGAAGACTCTCTAGTACTTCTGGTGAAACATTTTCCTTTTTAAACATGATTAAGTTCCACTGATTATGCTTTCGTTCATGATCCATCTTAGTGGTTGCTGATAATATTTTCCAAAACAGTAACATAAGTTCGAGAGTTGAATCATTTAATTAAGCAAATTATAGAATAGAATTGTTTCCTACTTTGATTTACCTCTGGTTTATATATGTATATCTACATATACGTGAATTAAACAATAATGTCAGCGTATCAAATAGATGTAATTTCTTCAGTTAGCTCTTTTTATATCCTTACTGACTTATTGGCTTCTTCACTATTTTTAATTAGAGAGTAAGCAACGTAGATTATACAAGTTCACGTAGTTCAGTTCGATGACTTTACCTACAGCTCTGTTCTCGTTCACAATGAGTCATGCTTGACAAATAGCTAATTGATGAGTCCATCAATTTTTTTTAACGTTAGTAAAGTAATAAAACCATGTTTATTGATTCTCAAATCATCATGTTTTATTGGCTAGATATAAATATCTATGTGGAAAGATTAAACTCATTCGAATTATGAAAACAGAATTTAACAATTACTCGTAATATACAACTGATATCTACAGTCTGAATATATTAAAGACTGGTTTTAAGTTAAGCTACTGATATGAAACTAAATTTCCAAAAAGGAGTAACATTTCAAAATAAACATTGTCTATGAATTCATCAAAGCACGAATTTCAGCAGAGTTAGTTGAAAACTATTCTCATATTGAATTATGTATTTGACAAAAAATGATTTGAATATTACGTATGATCCTTTTTATTTTATATTTTAGATCATTTTTTCTTGATGTGATCATGTTATCTAAATGGTATAAATTGAAAAACAGATATAATGTTTCTTTTATCAATAAGATGAGACTGTTCATAAAGTTGAAATGAATTCAATTCAGTTTCATGTCTTTATTGATTTATCAGATCAAAAAAACGGTTGTTGGATCTAATTATTTTACAACTAAAGACTAATTATTCCTTCAAAAATAACAGTCAAATATGATATTATGCGAATATTCGTCAATGTGGGAAAGACTAATTTAACAGAAATTGGACACCGAATATAGAGTAGTCATTAAAGAAAAGTATACGGTTCCATGTTAGGACCATGTTGGAACATTTTTGAAGTATTTAGGTTTCTTCAAAATTAATCTTGTGTCCTGTTTCCAACGCATATGACACTATCCAAGACTTATTCACAAGTTTGTTTTTATGAAATTGTTGTTTTTTTACATTTAATTATCTACGTTAAATATGATTGTAATGCAGCTTATGTGGGAGAAATTTCCAGACAATTGAATGTACGGTTGAAGAAACAAAGACACTGAAAAATGTCCCGAAATCCTCGGTTGATCTCAAGAAACTTGAGAATAATTCTTGGATAGCGTCACATGCGTTAGAAACAGGACACAAGATTAATTTTGAAGAAACCAAAATACTTCAAAAAGGCTCCAACACATAAAAAACGGTTGACAGCAGAAGCGCTGTATATATGGGCGAACAAGAACAACCTGAACCGAAAGCATGATATCCAACTAGCAACTACTTGGCAAATATGCCTTAACAGGTATTTGGTCCCTTTCTCTATCCAACCTGTTTATTTCACATGCATCATTATGTTGACGGAAATTGGTGTGAGCTATTTTTAGCAATAGTTTCATGTAATTGATGATTCTCATTTTTATTTGCACATCAATGATTCAGAAACAATTGTCAACCTACAACTTGCAACTTTATTTATTCCTTCATATTAACACCGAATATCAATCATTACTAACTCAATCATACACACACACACACAAAATTAGTTTCAGTCGTGAAAATTTTACAGAATTCGCATTTAACTGACTCATGTTATGGTGTTTTCTAAAGTCGACATCCAAATAAGATTGCATTAGCACGGTATAGACTTGATCTGATTTGATTGTTAACACGCTATATCATCATATTTTGGTGATTTTGATTATCACCCTGAAGAAGTCCAGACAAGTTGGTTGGACGAAACATCGGAATTATTTTAAATTTCATACTTTGAAATTATTTCAAATATAATTTTGCACAAATAATAAACAGATAATTTCCAATAAATATGTGTGGTACCCAAAAGAATTAAATAACATGGAACCGTATACTTTTCTTTAATGACTACTCTATATTCGGTGTCCAATTTCTGTTAAATTAGTCGTTCCAACATTGACGAATATTCGTATAAACTAACTTAGTTTAAAGAAGGAACGAATTGAGCGAAGAAATTTCTTTTTAATTAGTTTTTCATCATGGCTCTACACTAATATATATATGATTTACAAAAAAGATATAATACTCATCGAATGGATACGTTACGTAATAGTTACATAATGAAATTTATAATGACATTGAGTAGTTGGAAGAAAGAGGAATATTAATAGTCAAAGTGATTAATAATCCTCTTTCTTCCTACTACTCAATGTTAATATAAATGAGATTATGTAACTATTACGTAACTTATCCATTCGATGAGTATTATATCTTTTTTGTAAATCATATATATATTAGTGTAGAGCCATGATGAAAAACTAATTAAAAAGAAATTTCTTCGCTCAATTCGTTCCTTCTTGAGTTACCAAATGGCAAAATGGGAATTTTCACTATATTGAAACTTAGTTCAACTTACAATATCAGCCATAACAAAACGTATTTCAAAAATTATTTAATATCAGATAAACAACAATTAAAAACCATCAACTGATGGTCAGTTGTTTTCACTAACCCACCGACTATTGAACTTTTGATCTTCCGGGTTTCCTGACTAGCACTCAACCATCAGATCACTGAATTAGCAGTGGTTTACATATTAATCTATTCCATGTATTTCGCAATCATATTTTCAAAGTCTTGAAAATCCTTGACATATGTTCACTAGTGAGTCCCACATTAAGAAGAAATAGCTGTTCATTGTTTGATGGTTTTATCGATTGTTAACTTCGATTGGTATATAATATATGTTATTATGTCCCACAATCTCCACAAACTCTGAACAATAAATGTTTATGTTTTTTTATTCGAAAAGACCGGCTACAGATATAATTGGAATTATATAATGATGCAATTCTATTATTTCGATCAGTTGTTTTGCAAAGTTGAGAGGACAAAAGTTATTCATTAGTAGCATAGTCATCATAAACTTTTAGTCGATTCTTTTTCTCCCATCTTTCACCCCATATTGCAACCTTTAGTAGTTTTTTATGATTGTTGTTCATGATACCAGCTTATGTACACCCACATAATCTACGTGTTGTTCTGTCACGGATTTTTTATAAGAAATAAAAAATAGAACCCCGAACCATTGGAATAAAACATAAATTTACCAACTTATAGCTTATTTCTTAAAACTCCTGCAAGATATCCAAATCCAAGGGAGTGAGACGGTCACACTGATGTCGATAGATGATCATCGCATTATATTTAAATTGATTTACGTTGAGAGTATGGACCCGCGAATTGTAATACACTGGCCTGAAAACCACTTAGTTAGGTGCTTTGCAAGATCATAACTAACCATTATTGAGAAGACCCCCACTGGAACTATAACAGGTGAGTGATGCTGACTGGTATTTAATGGTATTCTGACGGAGATCAGTTCATGCTGTTTTCCAATAGAGAGTCAATTTGAAACACGGCTTCCAAGGTGGTAGCAAAATATTTCAAAAAAATTAATAATTTTAACTTTATGCAAATTGTTCCATGATACCACTTTGGAATCAAACAATGTTTAGCTTTTCTATTCTCTATGGAAACAAATAGGATTTAATTAATAAAGAGGGCCTACATATCACACAGTTGTGCGTCATAAAACAATAATTACTGTTTTTAAATTTGGTTTTGCAGTCCGAAACTATTTATCTCAAGAAATAAATACATCGCATTACCTATGTCTGGTGCAGTGTGCCAGCCAATCAAGCTTGATGAGGCCTCACTTAGTAGAGCCTGCTTGGTTGTTCTGACACAAAGACTGTCATTTCTAGGCACATAAACTCACCGTATGGATATGTTTTCAAATGAAAACCTTTAGAACCTTCTAGGTATTGATGAGCGTGCACGTCGAACCTTGTTGGGATATTCAGGAAAATATCCCAAAAACCCTAGGCTGTTCTACGTGTTTGCGCGTCTTTGGTCCGATCAATAATTCGCTGTCCTCTAATAAGCAGTATTTTCACGTTATAACAAACCTGAATCAAGTATACATTACCTACATATCTGTTACATAAGTTTTCGCTTATGCATTCTGTAGCATACACATAGGCATATTCGCCTCATCAGAAGGGTTGATACTCATTGCTCTGTTCAATCATATTTGCTACCTATTTCTTATATGCTACATGCAATCCACTAGTACATTAGCTTGGGCTCATAAACATCATAGCATAATCTTAGGCAACAGCGCTCTTAAGATGGGGCTAACGGTTACCAGTTCTTTCATCTGAATTAACTACCCCTCGTTTTTCGTTTATTTTACGGATACGTTTTTTATTACTTAGTTGGGGCTCTTAAACATAGGGTAGGTTGTCTGACGTAGTTCATTACAAAACGGATGGGCGCTTAGCTTATGCAGATACCTACATACATAAACTGTACTAGCCAAGACTCAAGCACTTCATATATATATATAAGGTAGTCCTCTACGATATTAGTGCTTAAAAGTGTAGTCTAAGCAATCCAAGTTACAGCAGAGTGGTGG